AACTTACTTATAATATGTAGTATGTATTGTAGTTTGTAAAGAAAGATGATATTTCATTAGATCTGTTTAGACCATTACATCCCCATGTCTAGTTAGCTGGCAAAATATTGTACCATATATTCCATATGTCAGTACATCTGTTTGTCACATATTTTACAAATAAAAATAACTTCTCCCACAATTTTAACAAGAATCACTTCAAATTTGATTCACAGTAAATCATGCCTGCCAACTTTCCCAATTCAGTCGGAATTTTTACTCCCCATCCCCGCCTCCCGATCTTATGGATCAAAATTAGGGTAATCTCCCAATTTCAGAGATTCCGCTAGGTAGGTCATAAGTAACCTTATCAGTATGATGTACACTTGTTTTTTTATATGCAGTTCTCTCCCCCCTTTAATGGAGTTATGGCCCTTTTGCTATTTCAGTTAATAAAAGCTTGTAAAAGCAACTCCATTTAGTTCAAATTTGCTCCAACTTGGTAATTTACATACAGTTATGTTGACTGTTCTGCTCCCACTTGAAGTTTATTTAAATATATGCGACATATTAAATTGTTTGCCTTTGTTTTACCTCGTTATTTTGTTACCAGCATATTGTGAAACCAATCCCATGTTGGTGATGACTGTTAACTCTGTCCTAATGCCTTCACTGTGATAGGCTGAAACACAATTATATAGATCTTACCAAATACATATAAATGGTATTCTCAGTAACTCAATAAGAATAAATGCATACTTCAAAGAAAGTGAAATTGCTGAAGATATATCCATTTTACTGTTTTCAGTGAAATAGTTAATTTTATTCTGTAACATATAAACTGGGGACATCAGAAATTGCCTTACTTCCAAGAGATCGATATGTTTTTAATCAATTTTCCTTCATAGACCACAAGCCTAATCTCCTCAAGATGGCATTCACTTTGTTGTTCTTCATTACTAGAGAGCTCCAACAAGAGGGGATAATGTGTACCAAGAATGGTCATGTGCTTTAGTGTAGATAGATGTGATCTTGGTCTTCATTAGCTAAGCCTATTAAAGCATTGATCAAATCGGGAACATCAAGAGACCTGCTTTGATTGAGAGATGGGTCACAGAGTTAAGGAAAGGAATGGGGTATTAAACAGGGCCCAGGGGTTAACGTAGAAAAGAAATGGGGTATTAAACAGGGCCCAGGGGTTAACGTAATGGGTAGGGGGAGGTGAGTGTTAAAACAGGATGTGACAGATGGTGTAGAAGAGGTAAATAAAACGGTTGTCCCATGACAAAAAGGGTGGTGACTGTTGGGTGAATAAATAGAATAGAGAGAGGAACGGTATATATAAAACCCTTATCATGGTCAAGGAAGATGGGGAAAGGATAGGTAATACAGGGTAGGACAGTCCAGGAAAGCTTCTGTATGAAAGTTGTATATGAGGGTTTTAAATAGAAAAATGAACTGATCAAGAATAGTTCATATAGGATTGACAATGTTATCACTTCTAAATTATAAACCCCTTTCAACAGGGTCACATATATTAAATTCCCAGGCACAGTGGGGTTACCAACATCTGGACAAAGATTCTGCACCTTCAATAGCTTTAGTTTTGTGAGTAAGATATTACTGAAAATTGTTTGATGTTCCTGTTTTATTCATTCACATACATGATGCCAAAACTGTATATAAATTCTCCAATTTAATGCAGGGTAAAGGCCTTTGGTTTACTACTTAAGTTTGGAATGAAAGAAAATCTTGAAAGTGAGTGAGGTCTGGTGCTCTATATAAGTTTGGGATCATCAAAGTGTCATTTGGTTGTAGCTTCTATTCTGAAATCTTTAAAACAAACCTGTGAAGTATATTTGATGTTATAGTTACACTTGTTTTAATATATTAGATGATGGTGAAGTGCTGTAAGAGTATGTCCTGTTCTGTAGAATTTGTTGTTTATCAGATATCCTGATATATTGGATGTGTCACATTTCCACACAGGATTTCTTTATGGTTGATGACAGGCTAATTACATGTGTTTTGTCCTGTAGAGGTCCCTGGCAGACTAATACAAATAGGATTACATAATATAGCATTATGTTTGTGATCATAATTTCCAATTTACTTTCCTCAAGGCCTGGAAGATTCCCTACACAAAATATTAACTGTCTGTGGAATAATAATTGACAGCTTCTTTATTTCCTGTCTCTCTGTCTGTCTGTCTTCCTAAATTTCTCCCATCTTTCTTCACTCCATCCAGTATTTGCTCTTTCTTTGTTTTTTCTCTGCTTTCCTTCCTTTATTTGAAAGAAACATCAGTAGATGATTAGACTTTCGACAGCTAGGTTCTATCCACTTGTCTCTCCCTCACACTAAATGAGCATACCTTCAGCAACAGGAACTTTTTGCATTTGATTTTCATAGTTGTTGAGAGGAAACATTTTCAGAAAAACAGTATTCCATTAAATTTTATAGAGTTGAGCATCATCATGTAATAAGTGTTTCTATATGGAGACAAGTGATACACTAACACATTTAAAACAGATTTGGTAATAAAACTAATCCATAGAGTCTGTTATAACTTATATAGATACAGTTGGCAGCATACACCTGTTAATAGAACACAGGTATATAATTTGGCGAGCTTCTAAAGATCAGACAGTTGATATTGGAGTCCTAATGACTTACAAGGGTGGTGGTCATATGATATCATATGACTCATATTAATGGGTTATCTCCCTTGTCCCATCCAGCTGCCAAAACATTGAAAAGTTAGGATTCAAATTTTCAACAACTTTTTAATAAATCTAATCTAATGGAAATGCTGTGGTAAAGATATGATTCTCAGCAGTAAACATTTTTTTATTATGTATTTATTCAAGTGTTTAGCAACAGATTTTATACGGAAAAGCCATTAGCATGAAAATTTGAAGGAGTTAGATACACATTATGGAAACAAATCTAGACAATTGTTTGTAATTGACAACTTAAAATACTTTTCTCCACACAGCAAAAAAGAAGCAATTGGTCGATAAAGAGACAATGAAGATTTTGATATGAATTGACTGACATGTTGTCGTCACCAGGGGCCTAATGTCCTCAAATATTACAGCAACACTTCATAATGTTTACAGCTTTGAGTAATGGGATCCCAACTAAAGCTGTAGTGGAGGGTGTGTCTAAAAATGATATAGACCAGGAAAAAATGTTGCTTCCGTAAAATTGGCAATTAGGGTTTGCCTTCAAACAGAGAAGATTTCCACTTTATGAAGTAAACACTCCTCACAGTCATTGCAAACTGTTCCGAACCCCTGGCATTCCAGCAGGAACTTGCACAGGTGTTAATAACATAGAAAGTTGGGGAGATTTGGTTAACATCTGGACCTGATGCTAGGTAGAATTTAAACAGGAAACGGTCACATCCTGAGAGGCCCTACTTCAACTCGCTCATGTTTAGTGTTGTGCTGGTTCAATACTTTGTTTTGTCTTATTTTGCAATTATGACTACTGCAGACTTGTTTATCTTTATTGATCTTTTCTACAAAACCTCATCTTTTGGACTTGAATAAGGAATGAAGAACTAATTTGGGGTTCTTACAACAGAAAATATCAGTAAAATATTTTCCAGAGGTTTCAGTAAATTAAAACATACTATTTTCTCTCGTCATTTCTTTATTAAATTTCGGACACATCAGACACAAAGTAGACAGCTGATTTCAGTCTATTTCATTACAAATTGATAACAAATCTATTGATTTTCTATGAGAAAGGACTCTGCACAGTTACTACCACATATTGCTGTTTAATTTAGCTAAACTCCTTTTTATTCAAAGTAATAGTAATTTGGTGCTGAGGGCCATTATACTATGTAAATACTTGAACTGACTTCATGTCTCAAACTGCAATTTTTATTGAAATATTGAACATTTGGAGCAGAGGGTACTTTCAAATTAATCCCAAAATATTCATCAATACGTTCAGACAATGAAATATTGATCAATCCAGATAACTTGATATTAGGATATTTGATAATTCATGATACCAGATTCGTTTTTCAATGCGAAATACCAATAATACAACATGTGACATTAACATTTGAACGTGTGTCTGCTTGAATTAGATAAAGTATTCTGTTTGGAGCATGTTCTGATGACTCCAAGTGGACAATATCCTGGTGACCTTTCATGTCTGTGATGTCAATTTCCGTTCCTTGTGACCCTGACCTTGATCTTTGCACCAGACGTCAAATGTGTTTTGTCAATCATTTCTCAGCCATTGGTGGTCGGGTGTAAACCCAATAAGACTAGCTGACACATCTTTAGCCAGCAGCTAAACGAAATTGAAGAGCTTAAGATAGAGTGGTGGATTCAGGGTTGGCTATTTGAAGATGTCATAAAAGATACTCAATGTCCAGTCTGGGTAAAACTGCTACTTACCCGTAGGCTAAGCCTGCTGAAGATAAAAGAAATCCTAACCTGAAATGATATATTTTCAAGTACAAGAGTATAAGTCTATTGAATCAGATTCAGATAAGATTTTCAAGAATTCTGGTCTGTGGGAAGGATGCTAGACATTGAATGTGTTATTACATTGGATGAAACAATCAAAGTCTGATAATATCTCATGTTGCGTTTAGCTTGTTTATTATCTATTTGAATGAATCTAATTTACACAACAATTACAAATACATGAAAAGTTAGTTTTCAAATTGTATTGCTAGGAAATTTGTTTCAGTTAAGAATTGTCTTGCACAAAATCAATCACAATCCTTATATTTACATTTGATAACAACAGATTTTCATGAAACATTTGAATAATAAACTACATTATATACACAGTTAGACAGCAGCGAGTTCAATCGAACGGTCATTATGTTATTACAATATCTTAGAAAGAGTTCTCGGTATTCCGGTATCACCCAGGCTAGAGTTGATCATATTTTAAGTGCCTGAGGCCAATTTTTTCTATTTAACAAACTATTTGATATTGCAATCCCTGAAATTCACATACGATACCTGTTTGGATTGTTCCAGGTTTACAACTACCGAGTGTCAGGTTCGGGTCTTGCTGATGGGTGTCCGATGGATAACCAACCCCATGGGCTGAACAACAGCTGCCAGGGGAAGCCACTGGGTAGGACATAGCTAAACTGTCCAAGAATGCTACCAAAATAATGGCAAAACTCTCTCTGCAGTCATCAAGTCCATTTAAGGAGAGTTGAAAGATATATCTTGTGTCTTACAGTGGCAAACCAAGCTTCTAGAGGATACAGATGAGGAAGAGATTCTGATGATTGAGAGGATATAAACAAGCCCAGGAAGAGATTCAATCAGTGATACATCAATGTCTCTATGTGCTTTGTGGAAAGTTGAAATCAAAAACTACTCTGAATTAAAACATTGTTGTTACCCAGAGAGAAGAACCATGTGTGGTTAGCAACAAGTGAATGAAGAAATTCTGTTGTAGTAACTGTATGTGGTGACATGTATAGAGGTGTGGTATTGTGGCACAACAGAACTCAGGTCCATATTTGGTGAGGTGTATTGTCCAATCAAATGGAAGAGAAAAAATCTATAACACTAACTGATGTTGACTAATCTAGGAAGGTCAAGTATAACTTGTAACATTAGTACAGGAATTAGACAAGATCTGAGTATGTCAAACACCTGATTTCTCAAGAAGTCAAGAGTATTTTATGGTCTAAGGGAGGTAACAACTGCCAGAGGGGTGAGCTGCCAATCCATACTTGTCAGTTCAGCAGCAATTTATAGCAACTTACAGCAAACTTACCTAATGGTCAGTTTCTGGCCTTGTAGACAGTCAGTGTCTGATCCAGTAGGCAGTTGTCAGTATTTACCACTGTAAACAGTTGTCAGAGTCTACCACTGTTAACAGTTGTCAGGGTCTACCACTGAAAACAGTTGTCAGGGTCTACCACTGAAAACAGTTGTCAGAGTCTACCACTGTAAACAGTTGTCAGAGTCTACCACTGAAAACAGTTGTCAGGGTCTACCACTGTAAACAGTTGTCAGAGTCTACCACTGTAAACAGTTGTCAGTATTTATCACAGTAAACAGTTGTCAGAGTCTAACACTGTAAACAGTTGTCAGTATTTATCACTGTAAACAGTTGTCAGTATTTACCACTGTAATGTCCATTTCAGGTCCTGTAAACAGTTATAATTATGTAAATGGAGGAAATTTCTGTACAGAAGTCAGTCTCTCCCACAGGATTCAGACCTTTCTGTACAGTTGTCAGTCTCTCTCACAGGGTTCAGACCTTTCTGTACAGTAGTCAATCTCTCTCACAAAATTCAGACCTTTCTGTACAGTAGTCAGCCTCTCTCACAGGATTCAGACCTTTCTGTACAGTAGTCAATCTCTCACAGAATTCAGACCTTTCTGTACAGTAGTCAGTGACGAAAAACATCAAACCCTTGAGTGATACATCAGATTGTCCTGTGGATGCTAAGGTACATTGTGTGATGTCATTTGATTTTATATTCACAAAGCAGGTCCTCACATGATGACATATATTTGGTCTTTCAATTTGCAGTTGATGACCAGTCATCTTGCTTTCTCAGTTAAATATTTGCCTGACCTAATTACATCGTGGCAGGTGATTGGTTGTGCAGTGATTGTTGTCTGTTTTCCTGGTGAATGCTACTGCCCAGGATGACAGAAAAATGGTGAGCTGTTCGCTGGGTGGCCTCAATTAAACAAAAACATATCGACTTTGTTTTCTGTTTAAAAAATTTCAAATTATTTTTTATTTTAAAATTCCCAATTCTCCGTTCAATTATTTTAATGAATGCATATCCTTGTTAATATACATATTATTGTACAGAGATGTTACTGTTCCTTAATATTTATCATGGGTGCATGTTTGGCCAAAATGTTTCATTTAATACCCCAATACTTAGATAAATTTAACTGCTATGTGGCTTGATTTCTCTCTTATAGTGCTATAACCAGTATGTTAAACTTTTGGAACATCAAATCTGATTTAGTACAATTCTTTAGTGAGAAAAATCAAATAAATTCACAACAATATTTAGGATATATGTAGGTTATCAATTACTGATATATAAATGAGCCTAGTGACTAATTTAGACAACATTAATGTAACTGAGAGGCTAGTATACTGTATACTTTGACATTTAATTCCCAATTTTAAATGATATAATACGATGTGTCTGTTGAATAATGAAGAAGATTGTTTTGTGATTAATGGAAGGTGTGACCTTGTATATTATAGGTATTGATTATGAAGGATTATAGAGAGAAAAACGGGGTGGAGTTTAATGTGCTGGTTAGGTCAGAAACAGCAGAATGAAAGGTTAATTTAGTTAAGGATATTGATGAAAAGGAGGATTTTGTATAAAGCTGTCAACAGGGATTTGAAAAATACTTCTTATATAATGAGACAAAAAGAACAAGGAGTGGTTCATTATGTTAAGTAAGTTGAAAGAAGATTTGGACTAGCTTGTATATGGCTTATACTAAATGATGTATTGAATGAAATGAAATAGGGAAGGGTGTCTTATTTTGGCCGACAAATAATGAATTGAAGGACGATGGGTCTTGAAATTAAAGAACAGGATATGAAATATAGAGAGGAACAGAAATTATATAGCAGAATAACATTGATATTTAAAAATAGTCTTTGTACAGTGTACATAGCTTCCAAAAGTGATCACAGGAGAGAGTGGGAGGGGTCTAATACAAATATAGGTGATTAAGATAATGCAAGTAGGCGATAGTAATTATCTTAGCTATTCATAACTAAACATTTCAAAACATTACACTACTGTGAAAGGGTCCTTATATGGTAATTGTACATTATTGTGGGAGGGTCCTTATATGGTGATTGTACATTATTGTGGGAGGGTCCTTGTATGGTAAGTGTACATTATTATAGGAGGGTCCTTATATGGTATTGTACATTATTGTGGGAGGGTCCTTATATGGTATTGTACATTATTGTGGGAGGGTCCTTATATGGTGATTGTACATTATTGTGGGAGGGTCCTTGTATGGTAAGTGTACATTATTGTAGGAGGGTCCTTATATGGTAATTGTACATTATTGTGGGAGGGTCCTTACATGGTGATTGTACATTATTGTGGGAGGGTCCTTGTATGGTTAGTGTACATTATTGTATGAGGGTCCTTGTATGGTAATTATACATTATTTTGGGAGAAATCCTTGTATGGTAATTGTACATTATTGTGGGAGTGTCCTTATATGGTGATTGTACATTATTGCAGGAGGGTCCTTGTATGGTAATTGTACATTATTGTAGGAGGGTCCTTTTGTAGTAATTGTACATTATTGTGGGAGGGTCCTTGTATGGTAATTGTAAATTATTATGGGAGGGTCTTTATATGGTAATTATACATTATAGGTTCCTGTAATAGTAATTCCTTATTACTGTGGGAGGATCCTTGTATTTGTATGGTAATTCCTTATTACTGTGGGAGGGTCCTTGTATGGTAATTGTACATTATTGTGGGAGGGTCCTTATATGGTAATTGTAAATTATTATGGGAGGGTCCTTATATGGTTATTGTACATTATTGTGGGAGGGTCCTTGTATGGTAATTGTAAATTATTATGGGAGGGTCCTTATATGGTAATTATACATTATAGGTTCCTTTAATAGTAATTCCTTATTACTGTGGGAGGATCCTTGTATTTGTATGGTAATTCCTTATTACTGTGGGAGGGTCCTTGTATGGTAATTGTACATTATTGTGGGAGGGTCCTTATATGGTAATTGTAAATTATTATGGGAGGGTCCTTATATGGTTATTGTACATTATTGTGGGAGGGTCCTTATATGGTAATTGTACATTATTGTTGGAGGGTCCTTATATGGTAATTGTACATTATTGTGGGAGGGTCCTTATATGGTTATTGCACATTATTGTGGGAGGGTCCTTATATGGTAAGTGTACATTATTGTGGGAGGGTCCTTATATGGTAATTATGGATATCAGTAAAGATTTACATTTTAATTTTGATAGTTGTGACTTAGAAAATAGATTATTTGTCAGAAAGAACCAAAACTAGTGTTTAGTCTGTTGAAGAATTGTTAAGTAAACTACCAGTTGTTCTTATTTAAATGTCTTCTTTGACAGGATTAATTACTTGGGTGCCATATTTTATGAATTTATACAAGAAACATGTATAATTAACATGATTTGATAACATCAAAACTGAGTGTGTATGGGTGAGGTGTGTTGATAAATGAGAATTTCTGAATATTTCGTGTGTACACATGACTTGATGACTTTTGCAGTATATGTGTAAATTTATCTGTTTGGGTTACAGAACTTTTCATTATGCAAGCATGATAACAAGTTTTCAGGCTTGATACCTACTGAGAAACAGTTGTGTAATGTTATCATTTGAATGGTTTTATTTTAGAATGAGAGAATAAAATATGACAATTTTGAGTGTTGATTTTGTGTTTTGTGTATACACTAATGATGATATGTTCTTTTGGACCATGTTATTTTTGTCTATTTCAACTACCATGCAGTTAGGAGCCCTTCGCCTATACACATACTTCTTAAAATATATCTCCTAGAGTATCATCATCAACATAATGACTGGTATAAAGTGTTGCCTTCTTTAATTATCAAAAATAGCGGATTGAATTGTGATCCCTGCAGTACTCCTTTAATCAAAACCACTTGTGTTGTCTTCTAGTTTCTCTGTCCAGTAATATGTAAAAGTCAACAAAAATATTGTTGAAAAAACAGCCAATTTGTTGATAAAATGAAGTCATTCATCACATAGAAATTAGGTCACCTGGTAGAATTGAGCTACCCGATATCTAACTGAATAAACTTCAGTACTTCAGATTCTCAAACAGGTGTCACTGACTCGTGTAGTCCGGATAAGTACTACCCACAATTGAATTTTGTCTTTGTTGTATCGTAAAGGCGAATCAATAATCGTGTTTGGTAAGCCAGAAGACTTTGGACTACGTGGAAGTGCATCTATATGTTTGATGACAGGAAGAGATGCCCATATTCTCTCTCCACCCCGTCCTGAAATCTTACTAGTACATGAGTTAAACATTTTGACGTGAAAGCTAGCGATAGGGGGTGAGGGATAAAGATCCACGAAGACTGGTGAAAATGACTCACGTATTGTTTACATCTATAATAGAATTGGCGACACAGTCTCAAGATCCAGTGTTGCAAAACGTCTGGACAGACAATGGTCCGGAAACACCGCCGACTCCAGTAAGAATTCATGAAAGATTCGACCTCTGTCAGAAAGGGAAATTATTATGACCCCTATGGAGGGATCGCCAGGAATATAAACAGACTTGCTTGAAGAAGGAACACCTATTAACTCCATAGAGTATTTAGAAGAGGATGCTCTCATCCGAAACTCGGGATGATGCGAAGCAATACTGACAAATTATTTGCAATACAATTAGTCGGATATTTTAACCCGACTTCTTTTGTGTATTAAATACTTCAAAAATCAACGTGTTTAGAAACATATTCCTTATTACAGCAAAACAGCGTGTTTAGAAACATATTCCGTATTACAACAAATCAGCGTGTTTAGAAACATATTCCTTATTACACCAAATCAGCGTGTTTAGAAACATATTCAGTATTACAGCAAATCAGCGTGTTTAGAAACATATTCCTTATTACAATAAATCAGCGTGTTTAGAAATATATTCAGTATTACAACAAATCAGCGTGTTTAGAAACATTCAATATTACAGCAAATCAGCGTGTTTAGAAACATATTCAGTATTACAGCAAATCAGCGTGTTTAGAAACATATTCCTTATTACAATAAATCAGCGTGTTTAGAAATATATTCAGTATTACAACAAATCAGCGTGTTTAGAAACATATTCAGTATTACAACAAATCAGCGTGTTTAGAAACATTCAATATTACAGCAAATCAGCGTGTTTAGAAACATATTCAGTATTACAGCAAATCAGCCTGTTTAGAAACATATTCAGTATTACAGCAAATCAACGTGTTTAGAAACATATTCAGTATTACAACAAATCAGCGTGTTTAGAAACATATTCAGTATTACAACAAATCAGCGTGTTTAGAAACATATTCCATATTACAACAAATCAGCGTGTTTAGAAACATATTCAGTATTACAACAAATCAGCGTGTTTAGAAACATATTCAGTATTACAACAAATCAGCGTGTTTAGAAACATATTCAGTATTACAACAAATCAGCGTGTTTAGAAACATATGCAGTATTACAAAAAACCAGCGTGTTTAGAAACATATTCAGTATTACAACAAATCAGCGTGTTTAGAAACATATTCAGTATCATATTCAGTATTACAACAAATCAGCGTGTTTAGAAACATATTCAGAACAAATCAGCGTGTTTAGAAACATATTCCCTATTACAGCAAATCAGCCTGTTTAGAAACATATTCAGTATTACAACAAATCAGCCTGTTTAGAAACATATTCAGTATTACAGCAAATCAGCGTGTTTAAAAACATATTCAGTATTACAACAAATCAGCGTGTTTAGAAATGGTAACATCATGACCTGATCATCACCAGAAAAATAAACGGAACAGTGCTTCGTTGTGTGTTTGACGTGTTTCTGGCACCATACAGAGGTACAAAGACGTGTCTTACAGAATTCAGAGACAGGTATATGTCATCATCTACGACACTGCCTGTTGTTATAGTAGACAGATTATAAAATTTAGGCCCCCCGATGGTGACCTAAAATGGTATTTATACTAACTAGAGCAGACGCTGGAACAACAAATAAAATATGATGTGAAAACTTGATACACGGGAGACTACTTCAAAAAGTAGTCGTTAAAATATTCGGTATACATATGACAGATAATATCGTTATGTAATTGATATAAAAATGTCGATAGATAATACCGGTTCATAAACACTGTGGGGTACTTTTCAAGTTGTCGTCGAAAATCTTAGACCAGATTTTGTACATTAAAAGCCAGTGTTATGTGACACCATTGTTACAAATGGTACACGATCCGTGCGATGTATAAATCAGTTTATATGTTAAATAATCAGTCAATAATTGATCAGAAATCAACTGAGATAACAATGCGACGTTTTGAAGAGAAAAAAAAAACACGTACATGTAACTATACGCTATTGATTCGTGATTCAAGAGTTAAGAGCTACCTATCGATGTGTGATGCTCTTGTAGGTGTAGCACATGTGTAATATGCACGCAATGTACGTGTTAATGTACGGTACAGATTATCAATGTTTGAAAAATGATGGATCATAGAGGGTCACTTCCTTACTAACATTTATAAAACTTTATGTGATAAATGAATTCATAAAGACTTGTTTACCTTAACAGTCAATACGGAGATACCAATGTGCTAACAGCTACATTACGAGGTGATGACTAGAAAGACTTCTCTTTTCATCAATGTCCGAAATTCAAACCGATAAAAGAGAAGAGGTACAGTACTCTTATCGTTTAACCTCGCTATAGTATGACCTGTTGTATTTTATACAAAATCCAAACTCATTATCAAATTAAAAATATCACCATTACGAAATTCGGTATAGAATTTAGATAACTGATATAACACCGCATACACTGTGTGTAAAGGACACGAGTAGGAGACAACCGACAGTGACAGACAGGACGTGACACACGTAACCTGCGATGTTCATTGCCAATGTTCCTTTGGTTACGAAGAATGTTTACCGTAATCCGCGCGCCACGTTTTTTTTATTTATTGATTTAAATAGTACTTAACGTTCTTCTGATATCACCAGATATATAATAATAAGGAAAATTATTGAATTATAAGGCTAGTGTGCTTTTCAATCTAGTCTGTGACATTTCGTTCGATTGTTTTGGATTTTCCTCGGGCACCTCGAATATTTCAATATTTAGATTCTCAATATCACTGACGTGTCCTAGGAGGACAAAACAGCTGTATGATGCGGTTTAATTCATCCCTTGGTTCTACTGTATCTGGTTCTAGGTTTGTATTAAAATATACTACTCACTTGCGTGTTTTTTTACTATGTAAAAGTAAGACATTTCAGATGAAAGGCGCAAGATTCGTTGTAAGTGCTACGCGCTCCCTAACTTAATGATTCTTATTTTTAGACGTTTCCACGCGATATTGAGGATTTACATTGGTAAATCCTCTACTTCCTCACGTTAATTGAACTGTTTCTGTTTATATATATATATTTTTTTCTTTTCCCTGTCGATTTCTAGTATTACCAATATCTCCTTTGGGATGAAATAAAGTTTAATGATGGTGGTCGGATGGCGCAGTGGTAACGCACTTGCCTTTCACCTAAACGAGGCTCGATTTCCGTAACGGACGTGCAAATGTATGTGGTCAGCTGCTCGAACACGTGAGTTTTCCTCCAGTAAGATCTCTTGCGCGCTTCCAGCCGTATCAAAAAGAGCGATCAATATTGGTTGGAAAACCTTGTTTCGCAATTGTTGTAAAATGAATAAAGTTTTCTTTTTAAAAATCATGATTTACGACACAAGACTAAAGTAAGGCAAACAAGTGATACTTACACAACTGGCCTGAATCAGAGCCATGGTTAACCTACAATGTATAAAGGTACATTTAAGTATGTGACGTTGTTATCAAGCATGTAAATAACGTTAGATTAACATACGTGTTCAATTCACTCGATGTATACTTCCAGGTGACCTAGCTAGGTATCAGTCCGGTGTCGTGGAATGTCCTCTTTGACGTCATCAGATGGAACCAATCCTAGTTAGATGTTTCGACATCCTCTCTCTAATTGGTCAGGTGTGATTAACAATTAAATAAAAAGTCGTCAGAACAGGCCACAGCCAACGTGATGCTCTCTCAGCGGCTTCAGCCCCTGTTGCTAGAAAGTTAGAGTAACCAATGGCAAGCGAAAAAGTCAAATTGTTGCCACTGAAAAAAGCAAAAGAGTTAAAGGATAAACTAGCACTTAAATATATCAATTTGGTCTATCTCGACAAATCTACAGCTATAAGATGATCAATAGTGTTCCATGTTTTGTTCCATCAGCGTTTCAACATTTTCACTTACCACTCGTTATCTCTAACCACCATTTGAACAACTGGGAGCCGGTGACAGTCCCCTCTGTAATTACAGTTAAGAACAGCCAGACAGTGTGTCCCTTCTCTGCATCTTTCTATACGGTCATCGTACATTGAAACCGGGACGGCGAGTTTTGTGGAGATGTTGGATTGTGCTGACCATATCACTATACCAAACCTGGGAATTGTATCACGTCATGTTCTTGTCGAAGTCTAAATAATCTCCCAGGATTGTGCACGCTTCAGGATGGACGGAAACACGTTCTGTGGTTTGGTCTTTTCCCTTTGTTTGAGGTTTGAGAAATTGTATCAGGTTAAGCTGTGTTCTGTTTTCTTGTGAGGGGATAGGTGTAAATTTGTACA